CTCTCTCTCTCTCTCTCTCTCTCTCTCTCTCTCTCTCTCTCTCTCTCTTCCTCTCTCTCTCTCTCTCCTCTCTCCTCTCTCTCTCTCTCTCTCTCTTCTCTCTCTCTCTCTCTCTCTCTCTCTCTCTCCTATCTCTCTCTCTCTCTCTCTCTCTCTCTCTCTCTCTCTCTCTCCTCTCTCTCTCTCTCTCTGCTCCTCTCTCTTCTCTCCTCTATCCTCTCTCTCTCTCTCTCGCTCATCTCTCTTCTTCTCCTCTCTCTCTCTCTCTCTCTTCTCTCTCTCTCTCTCTCTCTCTCTCTCCTCTCTCTATCTCTCTCTCTCTCTCTCTCTCTCTCTCTCTCCTTGCGTCCCTCGCGCTCTCTCTGTCCCGACGCTCTCTCGGTCTCCCGCTCCCCCGTCTCTGACCGCGGCCGGCGCGCGCTGCCAGACCGGGCGAGGAGCTGGCGCGGGACTCGTCTGGCAACTTCCGTCCGGAGGAGGTGACGTCACCGCCGGCGCTGGAGGTGACGCTCGAGGCCGGTGACCTGCTGTACTTCCCGCGCGGTACCATCCACCAGGGCCGCTCGCTGCCCGACCAGCACAGCCTGCACATCACCGTCTCCTGCTACCAGCACCTGGCCTGGTCCGACCTGCTCGAAAAGTCAGTGGGCGCCCGCGGCGGGCGGCGCAGGGAGTGGGGGGGGGGGGGGGATTTGGTAGTGCGGGCTGGCATACTTCCGGCAGCGAGTCATGCTCGCACAGCGTTGTGGTCTAGTCGGCATTTCTGCACTTTAGTCGCTTATGCGGTTGACCTTTTAAACTGAATTATTACCAAATGGCATTTCTGTGTGCTATGCAGATGTTAGATGTTAACCTTAAGATGTACATTACACATTTTCGATATTTCTTGAAGACGTTCTCGTCCGGCTTTCACATGCCGTAAAATTAACCATGCCGAGGAAAATGGGCTACGGGTTTTTGTTAAATCTACAATGGCGCGTTTCGCCACTTCTTCAGAGAATTGTATCAAAGGCCGGGAGTCGACGTACTCGTGAGTCACCACACCCTGATGTAGCGTCCTGCGGGGCGCGTCTGCCGGCCCGGGGCGACCGGCGGGGCGGACGCCCGTGCCGGCCGCTCGGTGACGTTGCCGACGGGCCGGCAGGATGGTGCCGGTGGCGCTGCAGCGAGCCATAGCCGAGGACGTAGACTTCCGGCGCGGTCTGCCGGTCGGCTTCCTGGGGCACGCCGGCCTCGTCAACGACGAGAGTAGCTCCAGCCAGCGGTCAGTGCGGTCAGCCAGCGGTCAGTGCGGCACGAGCCGGCCGGGCCCGGTCAGTGGTCCCCGGTACGGCGCTGACAGCGTTGACCGTGTGAGGTCCCTCTACAGCGGCCGCGGTGCCCCGTCCTCCGCTGGCCCCTCCGGACCGCCGACGCTGCCTGCGTCTGCCGGTGACGGCCGTGTCGCAGGGCTCCGTCAGCAGCGCCGCCGCGGCCGCCGCTCCGTCCCCGCCCCGGCCGTGCGCCCCAGCACCGGCCGTCTCCCCCCGGCCGGTCGTCCTCAGGGACCGCCCAGTATTACCCTGTGACGGGCGCTGCGGCGATGAGCCGTGGTAGGGACTGGCAGACGGCCAGGTGTCAAGGCACCGGGTTAGGAACCAGGGCCGGGGCCGGGGCCGGGGCCGGGGCCGGGGCCGGGGCCGGGGCCAGGGCCGGGGCCGGGGCCGGGGCCGGGGCCGGGGCCGGGGCCGGGCCGGGGCCGGGACCGGGACCGGGACCGGGGCCGGGACCGGGACCGGGACCGGGACCGGGACCGGGGCCGGGACCGGGACCGGGACCGGGGCCGGGGCCGGGGCCGGGGCCGGGGACGGGGACGGGGACAAGACAGGACACGACAGGACACGACAGGACACGACAGGACAGGATCGGGACAGGGTGCGCCGGGTGTGAAGGCTTGCTGGCGTGCAGCACGTGGGACCGTGTGTCGCCGCCGGCAGGGTGGCGCTGCTGGAGACGGCCCGCCGGCTGGTGACCCGACTGGCCGACCACCTGCCGGTGGACGCCGCCGTCGACCAGCTGGGCCGCCAGTATCTGCACGACGCCCTGCCGCCGGCGCTCTCCAAAGGTCGGCCTTCTTGAGCACCTCCTGTTCTCCAAGTGATCATTTGCTCATGCTTCGGGGGATTGCCAACTAGCTAATGGACCTTTGAACCAAGATGTGTCGGTTGAATGTTCTTGGAATGTTGTGTCAGCGTGACCTTTTTCAGGAATGCTTTTGCATGGTTTTCCCTATCTCTGCCATTGAGCGGACATTCAGCCATTCATTCAGGTTTTTACATTGACGTCACGCCATCGTTCCCAGAATGTCATCGTCTGGAAGTCATGCCATCAATCATGCCGTCATGTCGCCATCATTAGCATAATCGTTGCCAGCGTCTTACAGAAGGGCACAATACGTCACGTGGAGCGCGACTGTCTGTTGATTTGCACGTGTTCGACTGCTCTGTGGAAGAGTTTTTAAGCTGCAATACGTGTTTCAGACGAGAGATGTCGCTCCGTGCACGAGGACGGCGAGCGGTGGGTGGATGGCCAGGTGAAGGGCCACGCCACCATGGACGAGGATACGGAGATCAAGCTGATCCGGGGCAACGTCGTACGGTGAGAGGCGCTGGTGCAGCCGCAGTCCGAGCTGTGCACATCAGTCAACTTGGTACAAAAGTGAATTGAGCATATTCATTGTCCATTCAATCTTCTCCACGTAAGACTGTGCGGCCTTGGACGCCTTACGATACCGGTGTTTGAGTGTGCCTTGTCACGGTCTGAGTACAGCACTCCCTCCTAATCCCCTGTCGCCGGAGCAGCCAGGGGGCTCCATGGACCTGTGGGGGGGGGGGAGGGGTCCATGGGGTAGCAGTCCGGGTCCTGGCCCACCACTCGCCGCGGCGTTCGGTCACGCCTCACCTGGCGCCAATCGCACTGCTCCTAAACAGCCTGAGCTGTCCTAAGTTGCCGGCCTGGGTGCAGACAGCTGGCCGCGGGCACATCCTCTGACCCCCCCCCCCCCCCCGCCCACCGGCCAGGCTGGTGAATGAGGACGGCGAGCTGCGGCTGTACCACTGCCTGGAGAACTCGCGCCTCTACCGCGAGCAGCCCGAGCAGTTCCTCGAGCTGGAGGACGAGGCGCAGGCGGAGGCGGTGGCGGCGCTCGTGCACGCGTACCCCCGCTACACGGCCGTCGGACGGCTGCCCGGCGATGCCGCTGAGGCCAAGGTGAGTGCACGCGCGTCCTATTTATCGGGGTCGGCTCTAAGGTGACCGGCTTGTGGTCGGTCGTGATCTGTGCTCCCGTACTTTACTTTCCGATCCCTTACTTCATTGCTTGCTGTTGGGAGGGATGAGTACCTCTGCGTGGATGCATGCTGCCTGCTGTGGTCGCGCCCCCCCCCCCCCTCCCCTCCCCACGGCTTGCGGGATGAAGTGCGTCAGGTCACCTAATTTACGAGGCCCGCCGTCGTCAAGGTCAGAAAGGTGGGGCCGCCGCCGCCGAGTTGAGAGCCCAGCCCTGCCGACACGGCCGCCGTGGCCTGGCTGACTGGCGCCCTCCGCCGCCGAGCTGAGAGCCCAGCCCTGCCGACACAGCCGCCGTGGCCTGGCTGACACGTGCCCGCCGCCGGCAGGTGGCGTTCGCGGCCAGCCTCTGGGAGAAGGGCCTGGTGGTGACACGGGAGCCCATCCCGGACGTGGCCGATGACGGCGACTCGTGAGAGGCGCCCCGCCGGACCGCGGGCTGATGGAGTGGTGGACCGGTGGACCCCCGGACCCCCGGTGACCGCGGGATCGCGGACTGGTGGACCGGTGGACTGGTGGACCGGCGGACCGCTGGACCGCTGGACCGCTGGACTCTCGGGCTGGTAGACCGGTAGACCGGTGGACCGGTAGACCGCGGACTGGTGGACTGGTGGACCGGCGGACCGCTGGACCGCTGGACCGCTGGACCGGTGAACCGCGGACTGGTGTACCGGTAGACCGATAGACCAGGTGGACCGGTGGACCGCTGGACCGGCGGACCGGTGGACTGGTGGTCCGCCGGGTCCGCTCTGAACTCTGTGCTGTGTCGCAACAGGCGGAAGCTCGCCTGCTAGTACGGCGTGTTCATTCTGTGTTGGTTTGGTCATGATTACTGAAAATACAATGCGGGCGCCGACACGTTCGTTGCAGACTGAAGACAGTGAATCAAAACGACCAGCGTCCCGCGTCATCCGAGCATGTTTTACGCCTGCGCGGGCTTAAAGTGTAGAGCAGTTGGCTACGACACAGGGTAATGAAGCTACGTAGAGCAGTTGGCTACGACACAGGGTAATGAAGCTATGTTTCGGAGCCATAGTCCCGCAAAATTAAATGGAGGTAAGCTGACCGGTGTAAAATGGTGAAATCTATCCACGAACTGGTTTCCCACCTAATTTGGCCCGCTTTCCTTAAAGTCGGGAGGGCTGGAGCTCAAGCTGGGAGCGGGGTGACTGTAACCTCCCCCCCCCCTCCTCCCCCAATTGAATAGGAAACTGCGTTTCGAGTTCGCTGTAATAATTAAGTTATTATTTCCTGTCTTAGGATGGCAGGGCAGCTCACTCATCTCCCGGCGTTGTCCGTGATACCCTCTCGTATAGGCCTTTAGCTGCGCAATTGCCATTTGCTGAAGCATACAGGCTCAAATTTCTCCTTTGTACGAGGACGGAGTGGCTGGGAGCGATGATTCGCATCGGACTTCTCACCCTAGGATATCTGCGGGAATACCCTAGAATATTCGCATAAACCTCCTTATAACATTAGGTTTAAACCTTAGGTCTAAACCAGATTGTACGCATGACATTGTTCGTTCCGTATTTATTTACAAAGCATCTGCGGTGTGTTCTTGGATCGGAAAGTGGGACTGACCCCAGCCAGAGAGGAATGCTTGGCTTAGTTTCGCCTGCAAGCCCCCGCATGTACGCTGGGCCATTGTTTTCAGATGATTAGCAATAGGGTCTCCGGGATCGGATGTATAGCGCGATTATTGGGACGCAGTCCCTTTGAGTGTGCTCTCCATCTGTACGTGACGTACTGCAAACACTCAACTTCCCATCTGCGCCATCAAACGACCCATCGCATCCTCTGCTAGATGTCTCGAAATACCTGCCTGCCTGTGAACAACACCTTGACCTGACCCAAACAGCACCGCTGACCCCAACTCGCGTTCGGTGACCTGATCCCCCGTCGCAGGTCAACAGGTCAGTGGGCCGGCTGCTGCGGTAGGGTGAGCCTCTTCGGCCGGCGCGCTGAACATGTTCACGGCTCCAGATATGTACTCGGTGTAGTCCAGCGAACCGTCGGTGTTCCAGTCGTACTTGTTCAGCGTTGAGTCGATGATCCCTGCAAAGACAGTGCAAGGTGATGACTGAGGCAGGAAGTGCCTCGATGAGCAAGCTACTCTACTTCTGGGATTTCCCGCAATTTCCCACCGGCCTTGATCTCTACTCACCGGCCTTGACCGCCTCTCACTGGCCTTGACCACCACTAACCGGTCTTGACCTCCACTCACCGGCCTTGACCGTCCCCTCACCGGCCTTGACCGTCTCTCACCTGGCCTTGACCGCCACTCACCGGCGATAGCCTGCAGCAGTTTGTTGTTGTGGTTGTCGTCGGCCAGGGCCGCTTGCCGCTCCTGCTCGGCGGAGGCGTCGACCGGCACGGTCGTCACCTGGTACGGGTTCACGTGCAGCAGCGACTTCATCAGCTCGAGCCCGTCCAGCGCGCCGTCCTGGTTCGTGTCGTGTACCCTGCGACGCGCGCGCTCGCCCGGTCACGTGGCCACCGCCGCCGGGCGGGTCTGGCCCGCGGGTGGGAACAGCGGGAGGACTCAGTGAAGTCAGGAATTCAGCAAGGGAATGGGGGAGAGAACTACGTGACCTTGTTAATTTCATGAGAATGAGCTCATTTGCCGCCACACTTGCGCTGCACCCCTCGCATGCGACTCCTGCACACGCCCCTGCGCCGACCGATGGTCCGTGACAACGGGGCACCAGCAGGGTCCGGCGGCGCGCCCGCCGACGCCCCTGCCAGCCCGTAGGGCCAGGGTCAGACCGAGCCCCGGCCGATGACCGCAGCCACAGCTCCACTGGTCCTCACCGGAAGAACTGGTATCTCTCCTCCTCGTGGGTCATCTCCTTTTTCTTCTCGTCGGTGAACTCGTCCCCCAGGTGCTCTTTCAGATGTCTGGAAATGAAATGAATCTTATGCAGGTCAAAATTACTGCAAGCCATTACTATGTGTTGTCCGCCTCGCAAGCGATCGTGTCGTCATGGAAAAATATTGGACACTAAGTCCGAACACGGATGGAAAGAGAACACCAGCATTACATGCAGTTCTTGAAACACAATGTCAGGGTGGAAGTTTTGTCCTGCTTGCTGTCGGTCCTCTCAAGCCGTTCGCTGAGGTCATTTCTTTCCATTCGTCACGATAAGGTTGATGTTAAACCGCCGTGGAAGTAGGAGGGCCGTGTTGACGCAGCCATTCAATTCGCGTTCATGAAACAAACGAATGACGTCAATTTTATGTTGAATAATGAACTTTCGCAATTTTCCGCACTAGCTCTCTCTCTCTTGCTCTCTCTCTCTCTCTAGCTCTCTCCTCTCTCTCTCTCTTTCTCTCTCCCTCTCTCTCTCTCTCTCTCTCTCTCTCTCTCTCTCTCTCTCTCCTCTCTCTCTCTCTCTCTCTCTCTTCTCTCTCTCTCTCTCTCTCTGTCGTCTCTCTGTCTCTCTCTCTCTTGTCTCTCCTCTCTCTCTCTCTCTCTCTCTCTCTCTCTCTCTCTCTCTCTCTCTCACTCTCTCTCTCTCTCTCTCTCTCTCTCTCTCTCTCTCTCTCTCTCTCTCTCTCTCTCTCTCTCTCTCTCCCCCCCCCTGCCCCTGAACTTTCCTTTGGCCCTTGAACTCCCACACAGCCCTCTTTTTAGCCAGGATGTCCCGTGCCATCGTCTTCACCATCTTCATTGACGCGTGCAAAGCCTTGGTGACAGCGGGTTTGCCTTCACCCGTACGGAGGCTGCAGGCTATAGCCTGAATGAAAGCCAAGTATATGGGGAAGAAATAGCAACAGGAATTTTTTTCATGATTAAGTCAGATTTCTTTTGCCGGGCTATCGGCCTTTTATGTAATAGGAGGAGCTGGTTAGGCAACGTCATAGTGCAAACTCGTTTATTTTCAGTGTCTGACGTTTCAAGTTGGGCTCGTGGTCACTTATGAGCTTAAACCCGGCTTGACCATCACTTATGATCATAAACTCAGGCTGGCCATGACTTGTGAGCGTAGGCCCCGCTTGACCATCACTTATGGTCATAAACTCAGGTTGACCATCACTTGTGAGCGTAAGCCCGGCTTGACCATCACTTGTGATCATAAACTCAGGTTGACCATCACTTGTAAGCGTAAGCCCGGCTTGACCATCACTTGTGATCATAAACTCAGGTTGACCATCACTTGTGAGCGTAACCCCGGCTTGACCATCACTTATGATCATAAACTCAGGTTGACCATCACTTGTGGGCGTAAGCCCGGCTTGACCATCACTTGTGATCATAAACTCAGGTTGACCATCACTTGTGAGCGTAAGCCCGGCTTGACCATCACTTGTGATCATAAGCTCAGGTTGACCATCACTTATGATCATCAGTCCACTTAGGAGCTCAGCCCAGTCGAGTGCGCTTTCTGCCCGGCCGGGCTTAAATCTGCCAACTGGTCCAATTCTCGTTGGAGCCCGATGCGATAAGTTCACGAGTACTCGTTTAAAATTCATGAGTCCCATGACCATGTATTGGATAACGCGGTTTTGGTGGCAAGACGAAAAAAAGCAATTGTTTACTATGAAGACGACTTCCAGCGGTTTGCGCATGCGCGTGATGTCTTACACGGCCATCAAGTGTGCAATGTCGCACAGCACCCACTGAGCATGCGGCTAACGACTAGGCAAGAATAACGCATCAATGGATAGCGCAGTGCCGGCGAGGCCTCCCTCCTCCTTCACCGAAGCTATCGCCTTACCATCACTCGGCGTCCGCATGCCCCCTCCCCCTTCTCCACCCCTCATCACCAGAGTGCCGTCAGTCAGCCACCTTTCTCCTCGTCTGCCGAGCTCCTCACCATCTGTCACCCAACATCACCAGCCACTGCCCTCTGGTCCCCGGACTATAACCCGACATCAGCGCCCACTGTCCTCTTGTCCCCAGACCATCTATCACCCGACATCAACGCCCACTGTCCTCTTGTCCCCAGACCATCTATCACCCGACATCAACGCTCACTATCCTCATGTCCCCAGACCATCTGTCACCCGACATCATTACCCACTGCCCTCTAGCTCCTAGACAGTTTCAGCCCGTCGCCACGCGGCACTCACTCTTCGTCGTTGCCGACCGTCTGGAAGAAGTCATCGGTGACCTCGTGGTCCAGGTCGATGTGGCTGTGATGGTGCTCGCTGTGGTGCTCCTCCTCCTCGTCCCAGTCGTCGTTGGCCCGCGCGCAGGCTAGCGCCAGCAGCGCCGCCAGCAGCCGGACCGTCCGCATGGCGCCGTGGAGTGACTGTCGGGCCGCCCGGCCGCCGGGCTGACGTGACGGGCGACGGCTGACGGCCGCCACGTCAGCCGCGACCTGTCACCGGCGCGCGTCACGTGGCGGGGCGGCCCACGTGCCGGCGCCGGCCGCTGCCCCCGCCCACGCACCCGGCGAGGGAGGGGGGGGGGGGACGGTATCGGCCACGTCCCGCAGGAACAGGTGCTGTGAGGTCAGCAGGGCCTGGCTGCGAGTGGTCACCTCTCTGGGGGTGAGCTGCACCGGTTGGGGATGATTGGCGTGAAGCCAGCTGATTGTCAGTCCACCTGAACAAGCGCAATTATACATCGACCCACGCCACCTGAAAACAGGCTACTAAGCCAAGAAACTGCGCTGCCATATTGCATGTATTTTGCGCTCATTGTAAGGCACGTACCGATGGAAGAACAACGACGGAGAAGGTGTACACGTGGGCAATTATCAGCAATTATCAGCTCAAGATGCCAGGTATCACTAGATGAGACAAGGCATGGCACGAAGATGAAATGGAATGATTCAACTTACAAGAATGTAACATCGTTGACACATGCCCTAGCTTTCTCGTTTTTATCCTAACGACGTGAGAATGTACATGAGAAAACCACATGATGCCGACCATTCAGTGCAATGCTGCCAAAACCGGATACAACTGGCCGGCCGTCCGGAAATTCACAGCCGTTCTTATCACTGGTGTGTTTGCTGGGTGCTGGTGTAATCGTCTCCCTGCTGTTCCTCCTGCTGCCGTTCGCTGTCCAGCTCTTGACCCAGTTCTCGTTCCCGCATCCGGTCCGAAGCCCGCTCGTTCGCCAGCACGAACTCGGCGTAGCTGAGCAAGCCGTCCTTGTTCCCGTCGTCTTCACTCAGAACCCGGTCAATGACGTCTGAAACAGGGCGTCAGCCGTCCGGCCACAGCCTCCAGAGTGCCAACCGCGACCACTCCCGCCGTCAGCTGCCCGCCCACAGCATCCAGAGCGCCACCCGCGGCCACTTCCACCGTCAGCTGTCCTCCCACAGCCTCCAGAGCGCCACCCGCGGCCACTCCCGCCGTCAGCCGTCCGGCAACAGCCTCCAGAGCGCCACCCGCGGCCACTCCCGCCGTCAGCTGTCCGGCAACAGCCTCCAGAGCGCCACCCGCGGCCACTCCCGCCGTCAGCTGCCCGCCCACAGCCTCCAGAGCGCCACCCGCGGCCACTCCCGCCGTCAGCCGTCCGGCAACAGCCTCCAGAGCGCCACCCGCGGCCACTCCCGCCGTCAGCTGCCCGCCCACAGCCTCCAGAGCGCCACCCGCGGCCACTCCCGCCGTCAGCTGCCCGCCCACAGCCTCCAGAGCGCCACCGCGGCCACTCCCGCCGTCAGCTGTCCGGCAACAGCCTCCAGAGCGCCACCCGCGGCCACTCCGCCGTCAGCTCCCGCCCACAGCCTCCAGAGCGCCACCCGCGGCCACTCCCGCCGTCAGCCGTCCGGCACAGCCTCCAGAGCGCCACCCGCGGCCACTCCCGCCGTCAGCTGCCCGCCCACAGCCTCCAGAGCGCCACCCGCGGCCACTCCCGCCGTCAGCTGCCCGCCCACAGCCTCCAGAGCGCCACCCGCGGCCACTCCCGCCGTCAGCTGCCCGCCCACAGCCTCCAGAGCGCCACCCGCGGCCACTTCCGCCGTCAGCTGCCCGCCCACAGCCTCCAGAGCGCCACCCGCGGCCACTCCCGCCGTCAGCTGTCCGGCAACAGCCTCCAGAGCGCAACCCGCGGCCACTTCCGCCGTCAGCTGCCCGCCCACAGCCTCCAGAGCGCCACCCGCGGCCACTCCCGCCGTCAGCTGCCCGCCCACAGCCTCCAGAGCGCCACCCGTGGGCACTCCCGCCGTCAGCCGTCCGGCAACAGCCTCCAGAGCGCCACCCGCGGCCACTCTCGCCGTCAGCTGCCCGCCCACAGCCTCCAGAGCGCCACCCGCGGCCACTCCCGCCGTCAGCTGCCCGCCCACAGCCTCCAGAACGCCACCCGCGGCCACTCCCGCCGTCAGCTGCCCGCCCACAGCCTCCAGAGCGCCACCCGTGGGCACTCCCGCCGTCAGCTGCCCGCCCACAGCCTCCAGAACGTCACCCGCGCCACTACCGCCGCATATAAGTCAACAACGCACACTGTTAGTCACAAACACCCAACTCCCCCGGCGAAAGGTGCGCAACCTTTGTGCGTTCCACGTGAAACAGGCGAATATTTTCCGCAACACTTATTTTGCGCGACGTAACTCATCGCAAAATTTGATAGATGGTGCCCTCTTTGGCATCGTATTGAGTGTGCCATACCTACGAAGAACTGTGCTGACTCCATCGGGTCTGCGCCACCGTCCTTGTGACCCTCTGTCGAGGTCGCCTCGGACGGATCAGATTCTGACTCGGCTGTCTGGAACACAAAAATGCAGTCAGCGACCGCACGCGTGTGCGGGCTTGCAGTTACGGCATTCTGATGCATACTTATTTTGGTTGGCTTGTGGCCTGCAGTCTGTGTCTCTTGCCAGTTGTGTGCTAGAAAGAAGCCATATTGACACAAAAATGTACATTTCAAATATATATATATATATATATATATATATATATATATATATATATATATATATAACTCATAGACTCGACCGGCGATGGATGTAGTCTTCACGATACAGACTAGAAGACATAAGCGGCATGTGTAAAACTCACCAAACCCCAGCAATGTCATTAAGATGGGTTCCGTAATGAGCAGAGCACGAAGTAGGGCACCCACACATTCACGTCGACTGAGCCTGAAGGGTTTAAATGTACCTTGCAGTGTCATGTTCAGCGTTCCAAAGAGCCATACATGTGACTTTAGTAAGTACCTTCAGTGGCGCGTGGAGGACGGCCTTGAGCATCTCTAGGCCATCCAGAGCCTTGTTGCCGTCGAAGTCGTGTGACTGGAAATAATGGTACCTGCGAAACAATACACCATTATTACGCCGTCATTCAGATATGTTTAACATGCCGAGGGCATGGTTTTCGCTTCCACAGCTCATCATTTCACTTTGTGCCGAAGTTAGATGATAATTGGCCCTTCAAAGCATGCACTGGTCTCGCGTTCTCTTTCACGCAATGTTATTCAAATGCCGCCATTCACGGCAGACGCTGCCTAGCGCGCAGAGGTTGCCTCTGAATGGCTCTGGCCGCCACCCCCGCCGACCGGCCTCCGCCGGCGGCCGGCGGCCGGCGCTGTCAGAAGGGCGTGTCTTCTGCCGGAGTCGGAGCGGACGCTCCGCCGCGTATTGATCGGCGCCGGGGCGAGACGGCCGCCCGAGACCGACCGCCCGAGACGGCAGACTCCGGCGGGCAGATCCAGAGACAGCCCGCCGGCCCCGGCGGCTCCGGGCCGAGACGGCCGCCAGAGACTGCCGCCTGAGACGGCCGGCTCCGGCGGGCAGGGGCCAGAGACGGCCGCCCGAGACGGCCGGCTCCGGCGGGCAGGGGCCAGAGACGGCCGCCCGAGACGGCCGGCTCCGGCGGGCAGATCCAGAGACAGCCCGCCGGCCCAAGTGGCACTGGGGCCGAGACGGCCGCCCTAGACGGCCGGCTCCGGCGGGCAGGACCCGCAGGCAGGACCCAGCGGCGGCGCAGAGAGGGACACGGACCCGCCGTCTGTCACGCGCCGACGACGCATGGCCTCAGCGAAACAGCAACCGCGCAGCTGATGATGGAAAGGAGGCGGGCGGGGCCGACGGCTCTTTGTGAATTTATTACGCAATGCCGCTGGGGAGGATGTGCTGTTGCCCGATTATAATCTTATGTGTGCGAGCTGCTGGCTGTGAAATTGTTTTGAGAAAACCGGTGACGGAGAGTGCGGCGTTTTTCATAAGCAGGTATTCAATTTGCGTTGAAGCTAGGACTGCTGATATAACGCACACCGGCAGGAATGATTGCTAACAACGCCACGGCTGGCTCCTTGGACAGTGAGGCAGCGCCCGTCTCGAACGGCCCGACCCAAACTGTAACATTTCTGGGAGGTTATAATAATCACCGGTCGTAGCTTTATGCAGTTGAGTTCAAGTCACTTTCGTGCCACGCTTTTGTTGACAGCTGTGTTCGAGCGACCACCTTTTTCCGCTACCAGTGGCTGGCAGCGGCTGGCAACGGCTAACAGCCGACCTGGCACCGACCTAGCAGCGAGCGGCAGTAGCTGGCAGTCGACCTGGCAGCCAACTTGGCAGCGGCTGGCAGCACCTGGCAGCCGACCTGGCAAACCTTGGACGACAATTTTGGGGCAAATGTTTTGTGGTCGGACGCATTTTTTGCCCCCCCCCCAATTCTCCTTTTAGCGGCTCCAGGATCGAAACGAGAACTAAAGCCGATTGTCGTTGCCCATAGGTGCCCTAAGTGTGGCGTCACACAGTCATGCTTGCTATGCCTTCTGCAATGAAAGAAAAATTGCGCACAATCACATTCACCCAGAGAGAACACGAAATAATCGCATCCTAGCATGTGGGAAACCAATGATAATATGTAGCGTTTCCACTCATTATCAGCGTTTGGTCACCTGCCTCCGAAAGCAATTTGACGTCTGTCGCGCACGCCGTTCCGGGAAAACATCATAGAACCACCCGCGTGGACGGCGTTACCCCCTGCATTTGGAACAGCAAAGAAGAGTGGGACGCACGAACACAGTCCTGGTGTGTTCTCTCTAACCTGTTTCATGTGAACATAACTTTCCACGTTCAAATAGCACGGGAGTAGTAACATGGTATAATTGCCGAGAAGTGGCATGACCCGGTTAGAAACCAAGCCCAGATGTCGACAGCCCGTCGTCCGGCGGCACGAAACCAACACGTTCTGACAGAGTGGGGACATTGACAATGGCAACGGTGTGGATCGCCGTGAGTAACCGGTCGCGTGTGCACGAGAACTTGCCTCGGGTCCGTTCGTTGGTGTTTCAGTTTTCACGTCAGGTCTCAGCATTGAGTGCGGCCAAAGATGTGAAATTGACTTCATAGTGTGGGCTGATAAACCGCCTAGGGATCACCACACATCTCAGCACTTTCCGACCCAAAGGCGTGCGAGCGATCGACCGGGGAGTGGAAAATATCACCCTTGCAAATCAGTTTTGAGCACATCAATTTCTGGGCCTGTGGCCGAGGGAAAATGAGGCGATATGGCCACGAACTTTTAAAAGCGCATGGTACAGCTCACTGCAAATAATGCCCACCGAAAGTTTTTGCACTGCTTACGATAACTTAGTGGCAGTGACAAAAGTTGCAGATATGTATAAATCCAACAATTATCGACAGAAATTGTGAGGTTCATGTGGACCCGTGTCCGGTCTATTTTCCAGCGATGTCAAAGGCGCAATCCCAGGGCAGTGATGCAGCGCCTTTTAACCTGGGGAAAGCATCTACCGTCATGACGGAAACTGCTTAAAACATATAGAGGGAATTACCACCTTGAGCCCCATGGAGCTAGGCAGCAAGGGAACTAATTCAAAAATTGTTTTGCTTGCGCTTTTTGTGAGCTTTCGCGACCTAATGCATTATGCGATGTTAGAAGTTGCAGGAAGTTTCTCTCTAGCAACATTTAAGAACCGTTTGGACAAGCTCCATCGGTCTAAAGATCTCAGTTATAGCTAAGTTTATGCAGGTCAGGGGGTACAATTAGTTTCGAGGATGTGTACACAATCTGAGGTAGACCAACCTCGATAGGCCCTTCCGGGTCTTGTCGGCCAGATGCCTTTATGTCTTTCTGTCTTTATAATTTACCAACTTCCAAATGTGTGAATCCAATTGAATGATGGGCGAATTAAGATGGTTTTTCCGTGCCCCCAATTCTGTTTTTATTAGTTTAACTTTCAACACAATCTGGATCACCACACATTATTAAAATCATGCCTTTTACCACGTCACCCGTCTCATGCGAACAATAAATTAAACTGGTCTACTAGATTGAGAAGCTGCACTGGTGCAATCACGAAAAAAGTCGTCCTCAACTTTGGTACAGATCGCGGTTCTGAGTGCGCGGTACCAAATGAACAAGTTGCAGAACAATTTTTAGAATACAAAATATGTTCAAAGTAAGGGGCGGTCTCTGATGTACCGCTTTCACCAATCTAAACGTGATATACAGAAGCAAATCAATTGATGAAGACGCCGACCTACTCAGCATTGTAGGGACTCAAATCAGCGTGGCTATTTTAACTGCAATCATCGTTCATAGCTGTTTCATTGAATGCTATAGGATTTTAAAATAGTATTAACCTTATTCCTTTAGGAAAAACCAGGAGAATAGAGATATCGATGAGTCGATATTTCGGCAACATGCCCTTTATCGAAATGAACAGCAGAAGGAATTTGAAATTGTCTATCGATGATCCTACCCCATTTTTCAGTTTTTTTTTAAATAAAAAAGCTGAGGAATGTATTGGAAAACCTGAAAAATCGAGAAGGTTCATCGGCAGAGAATTTTAAAGTTATTTATGCTATTCGTTCCGACAAAGGCATGTTGCCGAAATATCAAGGCATCTATATCTCCATTCTCCTGGCCTTTCTACCAGGCATAAGGCTATTGCTACTGCCTTATCTATGTGCAAAGTGTTCCTCGCAAATGCACTTAACAACTTAAGGATTTTCAATGTTTTGAAGGCATCGGGCTTCCTGAACGATACCATCGAAGTATGCAGGACACGACGTACTCTCCTGCTTCATACAATATTTTCCAGCAGTTCTTTTCGTCATACTATGATGATTCTGCAATATGTTTGCGTTGACAGAAGCGCGGTGGACCTCAGAATTACCTGGCGACGCTTTCATTGTGACAACAATTAAGTTCGTAATCTTACCACCGAAGCCAATGCGCGGAAGTGTCAGTAGGCCAGTCGTTGGGGCTTTGCTGCGGTGAAGGAAGTGCTGCTTGGAATCAGAACTACAGCTATACAACAATACCATAACATCAATTTTGATGGGTCATTCCATTCAAACGAGTTGTACAAACGTATGCGCATCGGGCTGAAATGTCATAGTCGTAAGTCATACAAGTTAACACAAACAACGCATGATTCGCAAAAGAAGGTACGCTGAACATCTCTATAAGCCAAAAGGTGCTAGCAATCCAGACCACGAAAACCCCCACCATAGATTTCCGCAGTGATAAAGCATAGTAAGCCCTGCGAATGTCATTGCAGTGTGCAGTTACAGTACCTGTTCCCGGCTTACGGTACGGAGATGGATACCTCCCAGGTGTTAGCAGCGCGGGTACTCCTTAGTTCCAGCTGGTGCACTGGACACAGACGTATGTATGTATGTACATACGCGACCCCTCCATCTGAGCCCAGGCCGTCCTGCCGTACCCCTCACCTCAGCTCATCGTCGCTGATGTTTTGGACGCTCTGCTGGTCCATGGTGCCCTCCAGGTGCTCGGTCACGTGATGACGGTCGGGCAGGATGGCGCCGGCGGCGGGACCTCTGCGGAAGGGCCCGCCCCAGGACAGGGTGGCCACCAGCGCCAGCAGTACCGCCTGCAGGCTGCAACACGCCACACGGTCGCCCTAGGTCAGACTGAAGCACACCACATGGCCGCTCAGGGGTAGACTACAACACACCACACGGTCGCCCTAGATCACACCAAAACGCACCACACGGCCGCCCTGGGTCAGACTGCAACACACCACACGGCCGCTCTGGATCAGACTGCAACACTCCACACGGCCGCCCTGGATCAGACTGCAACGCCACAGAGCCGCCCTGGATCAGACTGCAACGCCACAGAGCCGCCCTGGATCAGACTGCAACACACCACACGGCCGCCCTGGATCAGACTGCAACACACCACACGGCCGCCCTGGATCAGACTACAACACTCCACACGGCCGCGCTGGATCAGACCGCAACACACTGCTCGGCCACCGTGGGTCGAACTGCAACACACTGCCCGGCCACCCTGGGTCAGACTGCAGCACACCTCATGGCCGCTCAGGGGTATAAGTTGGATTGTAACATACGACATGTAACATACAACACAACACAACAACACTTATTCGGGTCAGTTCGCAACACAGAGCGGGGCTCTCTGTAGCTGGGTCATACTGTGATATGGTTCATGACTGATCTGGGTCAAACTATAACATGCTCTATGTCAGACACTGATGTTACCGTCATCTCTGTAGACACATCCCGAATGCAGATAAGCCAAAGACTGCACTCACTTGATGTCTGTTGGAATTCGGGAATTGTAACAGGACAACTTTGGTTAAACCCTGATCTGGTCACTGTGTTGAACCATTAAACACCGATGACCACTCCGAGTGCGTTTCGTGCGTGCGTACATGCGTGCGCGCGTGTATGTGTGCGTGTGCATGAGGGGAGGGCACGCTGCGCCATGAAATTATTTACTTGAGCTCATAGATACATTCAACATTCCGCGTGCAACCCTTTGCCTGTGAGTGACGGGATTCCTGTCGGTCTGGAATCCAGCAACACTCCAGTTTCGAAATCCTTTACAACGCACTCAGGTGCTGAGGGTATATGGTGTCAGATCCGGCATCATATCGATTATGGATGATATTGGACGACGTAGCGCACTTTATGTACATCACTCTCACACTCGTGCACGAACTACCTCAAGTTTGAGTATGGCTTTTGACCAAATAGTTCTCGGCTCCCGTGTAACTCACTTTCGCAAGGTGAGTTACTGCAAAATAGTATCACGGATATATATATATATATATATATATATATATATATATATATATATATATAAAGCGAAACTGCGCCATTTACTTAGTTACTTTTTCCTCTAGCGTACGACTCTTGCGTAAGTTGTGACGGCGATAGTCAGTGATGATTCGAGAATATAGGGAGGATTGTCACCACACAGATCATAATGCATCATGCAGATCCCGATGCGGAGGGGCGCGCTATGAAAGCATGAAAACGCCCAACAAATAGCGCCGGTGTCCAGTGAGTTTATAATGTTCGTGACGGAGCGGAAAACTGTCCGGATTGAGTGTCTAAATCTCATCATTCAGCGCACTGCAGAGCCTTGGGGGTGTCTTTTCCATCAAGAGAAGAGCGGCAGCGTCTTCACACGTGCTCGGGTGCGGGTGTCACATTGATCCCCCGAAGGTTTTCCCAGAATGGTTTCCGAACGGTGCACCGCAGCCGCGCCGAATTTTGCATAGCTGTAGACAACTGAATAGCGAATCGTGCAACATCAAAAATTTAAATGTACCTCGCAAGGTTATTGACCTATGACAGGTCAAATTCAGGCCATGGTTTCAGCGTAGGCACGTTCTAAGGAATCGTTGACTCCGATCATATAACGGAGTGTTAGACGAATCCACACATCTCTCAGATATTTTCTTAGGCAACACAACAATTGAATAAACAAATAGGCCTGACCTAGAGTGAGACATCAAGGTCAGAACAAGGTCCAAACCAACCTGTTTTATTACTATCTGGCTTGATGTATAGGCTGGTTTCTGGTGCTCATTTCGAATACATTGATAACAGGAACCGCACTATACACCTATGATGTTCCTATACATCAGAACACCACTGACCTAAAATGACCCAGGCCAACATTTTGTTTTTAGGAAAATGCTGCTTAGCTTAATCTTTGTCGCTTATCCAAATGCGAAACTCAAAACAATCTTTTATCATTTTGGTCATAATGACCTTTAAAAGGCCAAACAAGGTCACTGACCTTAACTGAGCGTGTGATATTTTGCTTAGAACAGTAACCTAGGTTCTAGGGGCCCTTTGAAGACCAACATGAAGTTTGACCTTGTTTGACCTTATCTGACCTGAAGGTCATTACCTAGAAACTTCAAACTTTGACCTAAGTGATTTCACGTACAGGTCAACACACCTGGTGAATTTGGTGTTTCCAGCTCTCTTAGTTCCTGAGATCTCAGGGGCGGGGTGAAGGAGGGGTCAAATTGACCCCCTCCACCCAGGCGAATAGTACTCGACCGGCCACCCGGGCGCGTGTTAAAAGGTCAAACGAGGTCACTGACCTTAACTGAGCGGATGACATTCGTTTAAGAATAGTTGTCTAGGTTCTAGGGGCCCTTTGGAGACCCATCCGAAATTTGACCCTTTTTTACCTTATTTGACCCGAAGGTTATAATCTAGGAATCTCAAAATTTGAGCTAAGAGAGTTCACGTAAAGGCCAATGCACTCTGTGAATTTCGTGTTTCTAGCTCTTTTAGTTCCCGATATCTCAGGGGGTCAAATTGCCCCCCCCCCACCCGAGCGAAGGGTATCCAACCGGCCACCCGGGCGCGTGTTAACTTTGATTTCTGTTTTTTTGTCTCAGGATCCCAAAATAAAGACGCCCAGTTTTATCATGTGCGCTTCATTCCAGCCACAGAGACCTGCAGTGTCACAGAGTTTTATCATGTGTGCTTCCTTTCAGCCACAGAGAACTGCAGTGTCACAGAGTTTTATCATGTGTGCTTCATTCCAGCCACAGAGAACTGCAGTGTCACAGATACATCATATTTAGATCGTGATACTAACATGCAGTGGCTTAGCGACGCTCAACGTAGATGACGGTGATGCCTGATAACACTGCATCGGTTCGCGCAACTGCAATTGTAGAAACGTACAAATGCATCGGAAACACCCGATTCCAGCCACGGCTGAGTCTCAACATTTGAGGTACACCTGACTCCGATCGCAAAGGTGTCAAAATGCGTCAGGGCTGATCTTTCTTACGAACTGGGATCAGAAGTGCCTCAGTTTTGACCGCGAAGCACGAGGCAGCATGGGATAACTGCGGGGAAAAGTAGGCCATCGTGGGGAATTTGCCCCTCCACACAGTCATGTTATGTTGGCCTCGAATTTCCGCAGTCAACATGTCACACAGCCACTCCGTGTCATACTGTAGCATACTACAAAGCAGCTCTTTTTCATAGCGCATCCTGTCATACGGTCTCTCTGGGTCAGACTGAAACATGCCACTCGATCTCTCTGGGCCATACCAAAACATACCGCTCTTTCTCTCTGGGCCATACCAAAACATACCACTCGATCTCTCTGGGCCATACCAAAACATACCAATCTATCTCTCTGGGCCATACCGAAACATACCACTCTTTCTCTCTGGGACATACCGAAACATACCACTCTATCTCTCTGGGCCATGCCGAAACATACCACTCTATCTCTTTGGGCCATGCTGAATCATACAACACGATCTCTCTGGGTCGTGCTGAAACATGCCACACGATCTCTTTGGGCCAGACTGAAGCATACCACTCGATCTCTCTGGGTCATACCGAAACATACCACTCGATTTCTCTGGGTCATACCAAAACATACCGCTCGATCTCCCTGGGTCAGGCTGTGACACACCGTAGGATGGCTCCAGCTCGGACTGCGCCACACATTCTGCAGCCGCTCTCGGTCAGGCACAACACACACCCGACCCAGAGAATTGCGGTGTGACAGGGGCGTGCAGGGAGATGAGACACAGTCGACCGTTCGCCTGTGTCATGCTGGAAGACACGACCGCTGTGTGTCTAACACACCGCACGACTACTTTGGCTCAGACTGTGCCTCATCGTGTGCTTGAGCACCGCACACACAGCCGCTCTGATTCAGACTGTGCCTCATCGTGTGCTTGAGCACCGCACACACAGCCGCTCTGATTCAGACTGTGCCTCATCGTGTGCTTGAGCACCGCACACACAAACACTCTGATTCAGACTGCCTGATCGCGTGCTTGAGCACCGCACACACAGCCGCTCTGATTCAGACTGTGTCTGATCGTGTGCTTGAGCACCACACACACACGGTCGCTTTGATTCGGACTGAAAACAGCACATGGCATGTCCACCCTAGGAGGAAGTCAGTTGCGCAGCTCTAGGATAGGCTGGCGCGGTGTCATCGCCCAGCCTGGGTGTGAGTGCTGGGGATACTTAGGCGGACGAACAGTTGCACCGAACTTTGAATCGTTTTAGCAATAGCCACAAAGTGTTCGTGGTAACACGGTGGTCAGAACATCGTCTCTGATCTCCTTCCAGCCTTTGGGGCTCGTACGACTCCGCTGGTGAATGCAATCGACCATGTGCCTTTCCGACAGCTTTCTGATTTTCGTCCGGGAGGACTAAGTTGGGGCTATTTACCTGTGTGGTCCGCAAACTGAGGGCTGTTTCCCTACATATAAATGTTGGAAGTATTCTCAGTACTGCTGGCTAGTTGTTGTCATGATATTTATCCAATCTAATGATATTTTACTGTGATTCATTTTGCAAAGCGCTTCAGCTACCTTATGCATTATTCAGGGAGTGTATTGGCTGGGACATGTTCAATGCAACCATGTCATGCAAGCCCATTCTGTTGGGTAAGTCTCCGCACGTCCTGCGGTGCAAGACAACCGATGAAACTTCCAGCGCATTGTTTTAGAAGCTTTGTCGGCTCTCCTCGTGCATTCAGAGTACGATAAAATAAGATGAAACAAAAATATTTACCCGCTCACCTCACACGGGGAAAGCGAGCAAAAGAAGCCATCCAAATT